ATATGTCATTGCAGGCACGTGGATTTGATTGGTTTCAGGTTAAAAAAACCCTGACCAATCGCTAAGCTGATATTTTTAATTTGAAGATTACAGAGGAGCGACAGCAAACCTCAAAGCCAGTCAATTTTACCATTAGGCGACGGCATGATTGTTTTGATGTAATGTTACAGGTCAAGGATCAAACTGATGTTCAAGTCTCATCAACAATGTAGGCACACTGAGCCTTCAATATTGCTATGATATATTCAAAAGGTGCTGAGAGCCAAAGTGAGTATGGAGGATGTACAAAATCCAGGGTTCTGTATTCGCCATGTTACAAGTAAATTAATCTTAATTCTTTTATGAAAAGAAACGCTTGGCAGCACGCGGCTAGTGAAACTTGACCAGCTTTGAAGCTTGGTGACTTCTGTATTCTTCAAAGGACATATATCAGCCCAGCGATTGGTCCTATAGTAAAACTTATCAAACAGCTGACGGTAAGCCTTGGATTTTGTCGTGACATATTGCAGGGGTAAAGAGGAGACGTGTAAGGAGAAAGTATTTCTAAGATGGGTTCACTGAAGACTCAACAACAATTTCTCCATGGTTCTTTGCACCATGCTCCATTCATGGAGGGGACATCAATGCATTCTGGGAGGGATTACCGAAACAAATGATCATAACTAATGTTAATTTCCATATAAAAATCGCCTAGTCTCAGCAAATAATGGCCAATGGTGGTCATTTGAATTTTAAAACGATGTTAAATATTCATCTTCTGTTCAACAAAACGTTCAACAAGAGAAAAGGTTTCTTCTTTTATTGTAAACAGATTGAATTCTTCTTCCATATAATTTTAACAAAACATGCAATAATTAAAAGTCACAAATTTCTTTATAAAAAAAAGGTTGAGGTATAATAACACATAATAAGCCCTTTGTGATCACTAAGAAATATTCCTTATAAAAAAATTGGGGATAAAAACAAGTGAAATTTAAATTTAGTTGATGTATCAATATTATATGTGTGTGTTTACTGATATTTCAGGTTTTTACTTATTTGAAAAGAGAATTATAAATTATTTAAAATTTAAAAAAAATAAAAAATATATAATCTGTAAAATATTGTTTCAGTACCAAGTTTTGTCATGGTAACACTTAGATATTGTGTTTAAATGACATATCGATCATGTAATAAAGTCAGTTAGATACTCCTGACTGAGGTTTCTACAAGCCTGTTAGATACCCCTGACTGAGGTTTCTACAAGCCTGTTAGATACTCCTGACTGAGGTTTCTACAAGCCTGTTAGATACTCATGACCGAGGTTTCTACAAGCCTGTTAGATACTCCTGACTGAGGTTTCTATAAGCCTGTTAGATACTCCTGACTGAGGTTTCTATAAGCCTGTTGGATACTACTGACTGAGGTTTCTACAAGCCAGACTGCTTTGAGTGTTAGATACTCTTGACCGAGGTTTCTACAAGCCTGTTAGATACTCCTGACTGAGGTTTCTACAAGTGAAATGCCATGGGTTGTCTACATGGAGTAAGGAACTAGCTTCATATTAACAGGAAGGTGACTATGAACTGCTACAAAATCAGACCAATCGTTTGTGAGAACTGTCATATATATTATAATTTTTTACTGGAAATATTTCAAATTCTTTATTCTTCTTCAAAGATAGGTTTAGGTACCCTTATTAGGGTATTATTAAGTCAAATATGATATTTGAAATAGTTTATAAAATAAAACTCAATGCAAGTTTTCAAGAAGAAAAACTCCTTGCAAATGAGATATACAGAGATAATTGAAAAAATTGAAGTCAAGTAAAACTTTTAAGCTATTTTTGTCACCACTTCCTACAAGTTCATTCCAAAGGTGTTTCACTGTAGTAGTAGTATTAAAACATTGAATTATTTGTTGCAATTCCAAAAACTAATCTGCTATACATGTTTATGTAATCCTTTCAACACGGAATGCATTAGGTAACATTAAAAGAAATGTATCCTATCTTTTAACACAACGGTTGCATAGCTCATTAAGGAAATGGTATAAATTAACATTACACCATGAGGGAAAAAAAACATTTGTTCTTCTACACATATTACAGTGGCACACTCACAGAGTCAAATAATGTGTTGTCTATCCAAACAAAGTTATACAGAATATCCCACACAAGGTATACAGAATATCCCTCACACAGAATATCCCACACAAGGTATACAGAATATCCCACACACAGAATATCCCACACAAGGTATACAGAATATCCCACACAAGGTATACAGGATATCCCACACAAGGTATACAGAATATCCCACAAGGTATACAAAATATCCCACACAAGTTATACAGAATATCCCACACAAGTTATACAGAATATCCCACAAGGTATACAGAATATCCGACACAAGGTATACAGAATATCCCACACAAGGTATACAGGATATCCCACACAAGGTATACAGAATATCCCACACACAGAATATCCCACACAAGGTATACAGAATATCCCTCACACAGAATATCCCACACAAGGTATACAGAATATCCCACAAAGTATACAGAATATCCCACGCAAGGTATACAGAATATCCCACACAAGGTATACAGGATATCCCACACAAGGTATACAGAATATCCCACAAGGTATACAAAATATCCCACACAAGTTATACAGAATATCCCACACAAGTTATACAGAATATCCCACAAAATATACAGAATATCCCACACAAGGTATACAGAATCTCCCTCACACAGAATATCCCACACAAGGTATACAGAATATCCCGCACAAGGTTTACAGAATATCCCACACAAGGTATTCAGAATATCACACACGAGGTATATAGAATATCCCACACAAGGTACATGTATACAGAATATCCCACACAAGGAATACAGAATATCCCACACAAGGTATACAGAATATCCCCCACAAGGTATACAGAATATCCCACACAAGGTATACAGGATATCCCACACAAGGTATACAGAATATCCCACACAAGGTATACAGGATATCCCACACAAGGTATACAGAATATCCCACACAAAGTATACAGAATATCCCACACAAGGTTTACAGAATATCCCACACAAGGTTTACAGAATATCCCACACAAGGTATACAGAATATCCCGCACAAGGTTTACAGAATATCCCACACAAGGTATTCAGAATATCCCTCACACAGAATATCCCACACAAGGTATACAGAATATCCCACAAGGTATACAAAATATCCCACACAAGTTATACAGAATATCCCACAAGGTATACAAAATATCCCACACAAGTTATACAGAATATCCCACACAAGGTTTACAGAATATCCCACACAAGGTATTCAGAATATCACACACAAGGTATATAGAATATCCCACACAAGGTACATGTATACAGAATATCCCACACAAGGTATACAGAATTTCCCACACAAGGGGCAATCTTCAGAAACCTCATACACATCACAATGTCCAACTTCACTGAGATTCCTACAGAACACATTTATCACATCTAAGCGTTCACTGAAACCATTTATTAGGATAGCTGCACCACACTTTAGTCCAATCTCCATGGGCCAAACCTTTTTGATATATTTCCTACTTTTGATAGGAAGTTAAAAGTGGATTGCAACAAAGCCTAAAGCCCTATTCTTAAACCTCAGCAAAACTAATGAAAACTGAGGCACACATTCTTTTTACTATTTTGCAGAATAGAGATAGAAGCTTTAAGGCTATATGCCACCTTGATGTGATGTGTTGTTTTCCAAAATAGTTCCACCTGATCCGACAGTAAAAGATACTGTTTTAGATTTGGATAAATAATTGATAGTACTTAAATAAACCGGGATGAATGAAAAATTGTTAATAAAAAGGAAGTAATATAGGGAGATATAAGTCTAAACTAAACCACATGTATGTGTGATGTATTATAACATTACCGTACATGTCTGGTAAAATAAAACTGACTATTTTTTTTATGAATATGAGTATTATGTACAAACAAATGAGAAGTGTATCAATAACAACTAAAAAAAACATGTAATCTCTGTAATTAATAATAAAGCTTCACCTTAATTGCATTGATAAAACTGACTGGGAAATAAAACCGGTGTATATTGTGGAACTGTAAATACAATATCTGTTGTGGAACTGTAAATACAATATCCATTGTGGAACTGTAAATACAGTGATTAAAAACTTTATTGTCGTGACAAGTCACTATGTTTTACATGTAAAGTCTTGGTTCATTACTTTATATACATTGGCTAAAAAATACAAACGGTTGTGCATTATCCCACACACTAAAACAAAAAAATCCCTGGTCATATCTGTCCCTATATAATCTAAGGGATGACTGGTCATATCTGTCACTATATAATCTAAGGGATGACTGGTCATATCTGTCCCTATATAATGTAAGGGATGACTGGTCATATCTGTCCCTATATAATCTAAGGGATGACTGGTCATATCTGTCACTATATAATCTAAGGGATGACTGGTCATATCTGTCGCTATATAATCTAAGGGATGACTGGTCATATCTGTCACTATATAATGTAAGGGATGACTGGAATTTTATCCGTCACCTTCATCTATTGAAGCAGTATCCTAGACCACGTTTTTACAGCAGTGCTAATTAAACTAACAAAGAAAAGTATTTACAAGAAAAACAATTTGGATAGCATAATAGCATTTGTGTTATTACCACTTAACAAATTCGGTTCCCCAGCAAGAAATGATATTGAAATAGGAATAAAAAGACACATTCAAATAACTAGGGTCCCCAGCATGTATCAGAATGTTACAAGGATTGCCTCAATGTATGAAACAGCAATATATATATGACAACATGATAAAACAGTTTGGCAGAACACACCTTCATCATTTCAAAACTAATCCTTTGCCATTAATAAATTTAAATGTTTACCCGCCAATTATTACCACCTATTGTTTACCACTGGTCTCAGTAGTCATAGTATTATCTAAACATTTTTGCCAACAGAGAAAAACATCCAAACGTTTTATTTTTTAATAATAAATGTATAAACGTGTCCTTATGTATGTTATCTTTTCAATCTGCATCAATACATCAACATGTTGACACAGAATTACTTGTTTTAATATCAATCACCAACAATCACATTTATTTGTTAACTATAATATTTTTAACGATTCAAGTAAACTTTGCACCACCCCTTTCCCACAAACACGCAAAGTAAAACACATAAAAACCATGCACATGCTATACCCTATAGGCAAAAATGGACTGTGCTTTGCACTTATGTAAAATGTCTGATAAGGTGTAGGACAGGGGGTTAGAATCCCAGAGGATGCTGCTGTAGAGTTCCGTTGTTGCTTACTACATCCTGAGATATTTGAGCCAGACTGCCATATCTCCTTAAGGCCTTAGTGTCCATAGTATCTCTCAAGTTCTGATCAATCCTTATGGCGGCCTGAAATATTTGAGAAACAAAACATGTTTATCACATCAAATTTGAATTGCAATTACAATCACACTTTTAGTTCAAAGTCAGATTTTATTTATCTTATGGCAATAATGTTGAGTGTTTTATTAAGGTATAATCAATACCTTGGTAATCTTAACGTTTATCTCTCATGGTGCTACTGACTTCGATAGGAAGTTTATATGTATTGTATCAAAGCTTATTACCTCCTCATAGGAAGTTTATATGTACTCGTGTCAAAGCTTATTACCTCCTCATAGGAAGTTAATACGTATTGTATCAAAGCTTATTACCTCCGCATAGGAAGTTTATATGTACTCGTATCCAAGCTTATTACCTCCTCATAGGAAGTTAATATGTACTCGTATCAAAGCTTATTACCTCCTCATAGGAGGTTTATATGTACTTGTATCAAAGCTTATTACCTCCTCATAGGAAGTTTATATGTACTCGTATCAAAGCTTATTACCTCCTCATAGGAAGTTAATATGTACTTGTATCAAAGCTTATTACCTCCTCATAGGAAGTTTATATGTATTGTATCAAAGCTTATTACCTCCTCATAGGAAGTTCATATGTATTTATAGCAAAACTTATTACCTCCTCATAGGAAGTTAATATGTACTTGTATCAAAGCTTATTACCTCAGCATAGGAAGTTCATATGTATTTAGATCAAAACTTATTACCTCCTCATAGGAAGTTCATATGTACTCGTATCAAAACTTATTACCTCCTCACTTATTACCTCCTCATAGGAAGTTCATATGTATTTATATCAAAACTTATTACATCCTCATAGGAAGTTCATATGTACTCTTATCAAAGCTTATTACCTCCTCACTTATTACCCCCTCATAGGAAGTTCATATGTATATGTATCAAAGCTTATTACCTCCTCATAGGAAGTTTATATGTATTGTATCAAAGCTTATTACCTCCCCATAGGAAGTTCATATGTATTTGTATCAAAGCTTATTACCTCCTCTCTTATTACCTCCTCATAGGAAGTTCATATGTACTCTTATCAAAGCTTATTACCTCCTCACAAAAGACTTTGGTTAACTCCAACTCATGTTGGGCAGAGCTATGGTTCTGCTCGATTGACCGCGACGCTCTTGACAAAACAGCAACCATTCCGTAAATATCTATAGCTGCATCAGCGATCCGATTTAATACAAACTGTTGTTCAGGATCTGTTAGGAAGAGATCATCAATACAACATTAGTCTAACATACATTGTACTACTGTTTTAATGGTGATGTGACATGGTTACTGAAATACACCACTGCTGGCATGGCTTCCTAAACAGTCTTTATACTCACTGACAAAGGATCATATTCTTAGCAATTGTTATGTTATTTTTAAAAACATTTTGACAGGAAAATCACCACAGTGATGGATATTTAAAAAAAGAATCTTTTCACAATCCTGAATAATCAGTATTTCATTCAGGATTCATGAACTGTGCTGAGGACAAACACAGTGGTGCTTTTAAAATGGATTATAGTACAACAGGATAAAACTGATTATCATATGCTTAAACATTTCTTGCAATCACATTGGTTGGATCCTATACACATGACCAGTCCTCAAAAACTCATGTAGACTGGTTTCTGGTGAATATCGCCTTTATGGAAATTCTGCGGAACCTGTCGTAGCGCTTGCGCAGTTAAAACAGAACCCGATCTGTCAGATGACAACAGAGGATGGCTGCATGCAAATGCTTTGCCTCTGTTACAACTGAACATTACCAAAAACTACTCGAAGGTAAAGATGCCATTAAAACAAAAAAGGCCCCCAAACATGCAGTGCTTGTCCTCCAAACTTATTGAAAGGAAATAAAACTTTGACATTCAACCCTGGCTAAACTTTACACGGAGGCTTGTTCCAGTAAAGATTAACAATACAAAATGTTGTTATTGAAGCATATGATAAAACAGTTATGGGCTTTTGTGCTGGAAAATATGATGTGATAAGAACCTGAAAAATATGTTATTGGCCTCGGCTTCGCTTTGGTCAATATCGTTTTTTCAGGTTCATATCACATCATATTCACCAGCACAAAAGTCCCTCAATGTATAATATTGCATAGTACAACAAGTAACAGCTGAATTTTACCTAGAACAACAGGTTACAACTGTAGATTACAATAGTACAATAGTTTACAACTGAATATTGCCTAATACAACAGGTTACAACTGTAGATTGTCTAGTAAAACAGGTACATACAACTAAAGATTACCTAGTACAACAGGTTACAACTGATAATTGTCTAGAACAGATAACAACTGTAGATTACCAAATACAACAGGTTACAACTTAAGATTACCCAGTACAACAGGTTACAACTGTAGATTGTCTAGCATAACAGATTGCAACAGTAGATTACCAAGTACAGTACATTCCACCTAATATCACGTCTGTTAATGTCACTTTTCAGTTATTATCATGTTTTTTTGATGCACCGTTTTTCCTGCTATATAATCTATGCAATTCAATTCTTTTATTATCACCTGATTTTATGTCGATTTCTCTTAATATCACTTTATTTTGGCTACTGTCATAAAAAAAATTACAGGTAAATGGTGGTAAAGATTCATAATAAATGCCCTGGGGACCTTCTGTCACACCCTGGATGCATTATGTAAACAATGCCTCGGCCTAACAGGGTATTTTTTACACCTGGCTGACTGTCAAACAATAGGTTACACCTGGCTGACTGTTAAACAATAGGTTGACTTACATACTTGTTAACATGATATTCACCTGTGGTTGGGGGAGCTAGGACAGTCTAACATCTGTAAACTTTTCTAATGCCAAGTGTGATGTATTCTTTCAACTAATTATAACATGTGTACTATCTTCGATTACACACTTGCAGCAAATATCTAAGGAAATTAACCTATAAAAAGATGTTACTAGCGAAAGAACAGTATATATATCAAGATATAGGTAAATATTTACCAAGTCTCATGTTTACAATTGAATTTGATGCAGAATACCAGCCAAACACTTGTATGCCTACATCACTACTGCAGTAAACAATCATAATTACAATCGTACTGATCGTCATTTTGCTACTAACTATATGAAATGTAACTGCATACTGAAATGAAATACAAATAATATATTTATTTCTATACTTATTTACTTATATCTATATTTCAACTAGGTTAAAGAACAAGGTTAGTTACAAAATATCAATCTTCTTCGTAGAGCCACATCACTTAGGCATTTGACTAAGTTCACTTCCGGTTTTGAGGGATGAAAAACATCAGAAAATATGTATTCTGTTTATGTCATGTTTCTGTTAATATCATGTTTTTCTCTGACAAATGGGAAGTGATATTAAGAGAAATCTACTGTACAACAGATTACAACTGTAGATTACCTAGTACAACATATTACAACTGTAGATTACCTAGTACAACAGATTACAACTGTAGATTACCTAGTACAACAGATTACAACTGAAGATTACCTAGTACAACAGATTACAACTGTAGATTACCCAGTACAACAGATTACAACTGTAGATTGTCTAGTACAACAGATTACAACTAAAGATTACCCAGTACAACAGGTTACAACTGTAGATTGTCTAGTATAACAGATTGCAACTGTAGATTACCTAGTACAACAGATTACAACTGTAGATTACCCAGTACAACAGGTTACAAGTGTAGATTACCTAGTCCAACAGATTACAACTAAAGATTACCCAGTACAACAGGTTCCAACTGTAGATTGTCTAGTACAAAAGATTACAACAAAAGATTACCCAGGCCCACAGGTTACAACTGTAGAATACAGATAACAACTGTAGATTACCCAGTACAACAGGTTCCAACTGTAGATTGTCTAGGACAACAGATTACAACGGTAGATTACCTAGTAAAACAGTTTACAACTGTAGATTGTCTAGTACAACAGATTACAACTGTAGATTGTCTAGTACAACATATTACAACTGAAGATTACCTAGTACAACAGGTTACAACTGTAGATTGTCTAGTACAACAGATTACAACTTAAGATTACCCAGTACAACAGGTTACAACTGTAGAATGTCTAGTACAACTGGTTACAACTGTAGATTGTCTAGTACAACAGATTACAACTGTAGATTGCCTAGTACAACAGATAACAACTGTAGATTACCTAGTACAACAGATTATAACTGTAGATTACCTAGTACAACAGGTTACAACTAAAGATTATCCAGTACAACAGATTACAACTGTAGATTGTCTAGTACAACAGATTACAACTAATAATTGTTTAGTACAACAGATTACAACTGTAGATTGTCTAAGTCAATGACACAACAGTGGATATTCAATTTTGTAACTGTACAAGTCTTATAACAACATATGACCATACTTTTGACGTTCCGTCCATGTTTGATCAGCTGACTGGTTATAACCTGCCCGAAGTTTGCGATTGATTTAGAGGCCTGGAATCAAAAGAACAATAAAGAGCCTAGTTATTGAAATTGTACTTTTAATCACAACACATTCGCCCTATTTAGCAGTAATTCCCCATTTATTTTTTGTACACTAAAATGTGAACTGCCTTCCCCACCCCAAAAACTGTAAAAGAAAATTCAAAGCATTTGCTTTGGGGAAGTTAAGCATTTGATATCCCTTTATCAAGAGTGAAATTTTACTTTCCCGTTATTATCTGTTGAAATGAACATTACTACAATAACACAAAACCAGACTGTTTTTTATTTTTGCTTGAACAAACCTGGAAACATTTAGTTGCTCTCACCCGAGTTGAGTGGATTTAATCCCCCCTGATATTGTAGAATTTGTTGAATTTTATCCTAACTGCAAGATATATTGCTGGGCTTCTTACCATAACCGGATAATTACGGTAAATACTAAGTCTGGTAATGACTCAGTCCTTTATCTGATCTATCAATAAAGACAACTTTGTTTAAGGGGTCTGGTTTCCTACCTGATCAGCAGGCTCCTTCAGACTTTCATGCACCTGTGTAGACAGGGAATCACCAGACGACATTCCAAGTTTTCTGAAGTAAAATTAAAGTCTTAGCATGATCAGGTGACATGGTTTGTATGTACACTGAATCAGTGGTCAAGTCTGCATTACGTTGTATGATCTGTGACATGGTTTGGATGTATACTGAATCAGTGTTCAAGTCTGCATTACCTCATATTATCTGTGACATGGTGTGTACGTACACTGAATCAGTATTCAGGTCTGCATTACCTTGTATTATCGGTGACATGGTTTGTATGACCACGGAATCAGTGGTCAAGTCGGCATTACCTTGTATTATCTGTGACATGGTTTGTATGTACAATGGACACTGAATCAGTGGTCAAGTCTGCATTACGTTGTATTATCTGTGACATGGTTTGTATGTACACTGAATCAGTGGTCAGGTCTGCATTATCTCGTATTATCTGTGACATGGTTTGTATGTACACTGAATCAGTGGTCAGGTCTGCATTACCTTGTATTATCTGTGACATGGTTTGTATGTACACTGAATCAGTGTTCAGGTCTGCATTACCTCGTATTATCTGTTTCAGGATATCAGAGTCATCAACATTTCTATAAAACATAGGTTTGATCAACAGGAAACATGATGATGACCCTTCCCTATATTTCAGATCCATTACTGCTGATCAATTGCGGTATAAAGACTCCCAGTTTTCAGATATACAAATGTGTTTCCGTAAGAGCTTAAATCCATTAGCCCCTTCCCCTAAACTCATAAACTTACTAGTATCGATGAACAAACTTTAAATCACTTATATTTTGCAGAACATCATTTTTCTGTAAAATTTTGGGGAAAGGTGATTGCAAAAACAAATCTTAATGAACATGTCCTTGGAAAAAAAAGGAAATCAAGTGTACCGAAATTGTTAAATAATGTTTGATCAGCTCACCTCTTCAGCATGCCTGTTACAACACTCATTTGACCTGCTGACTTCAAAGCACGTCCAGCGTACTAAAGGGAAAACAGATATATCATTACAGTAACAACGCCTTACTGATCCATAGTGATGACACCTAATCAAACGATGAAATGACAACAATGAGAATAAGAAGCAAGCCAACACATTAGATTAGCAATGTATATTCAACATTTGATCATATTTAGAAGATTTTGGCTGCATAATTTATCAAACTGTTAGACCTAATGTGCATAAATCGATTTTCAAACCAACAAACTGTAACAGTCATCAAGATATCAATAATCACAATGAAACCAATTGGTATAACATAGAGATTATGGATATGTTACTTGTTCCTTTCAGTGACAATTATAAGCATCAAGGTCATCAGAAACAGTGTTTTTTTAAAATTAGTAACGTTCACCAATTCAGACAGTCTAGATTACCTCCATTCCAGTAAGGACAACAAAAAGACGCAGGATGTCATTGGTTCCCTCGAAAATACGGAAAATCCTCAGATCTCTCATGACACGTTCCAGTCCACATTCCTATAGCAAAACAGATAAAGTGAAATATACATGTACCAACACTCTCTACAGTAGGAGCTGGAAATTATACTTAAATGTTTTTATTTGCTTGAGTCACACTTGTAATCTTAAACGTGGACTAAAATACAGCTAGAGGCAGAATATCAGTGTTTGATTCATAAGAACCTATTAAAAGATTTAAACATATGATGACTGTGACCTTGAATGTTGAACAAGAACATTAGGTTGAACAGATTTTATAGTCTTCCAACCCAGCATGCTTTTGCCAAAATATCATTAACCTTTTGGTTATACAGAACAAGTCATTTAAAGTTTTTTTTTAACATATTTGACCCCTGTGACCTTGGATATACTTTGAGTCATTCATTTGAACAAACTTGGTAGCCCTTCATCCTAGCATGCTACTTGCCAAATATCAGAACCCTAAGCCTCTTGGTTATAAAGAAGTTGTATAAAGGTTTCAAACAAATTTGACCCCTGTAACCTTGAATATTTGTCAAAGTCATTTTTTTTAACAAACTTGGTAGCCCTTCATCACAGCATGCTACTGGTCAAATATTATCATCATAGGCCTTTTGGTTATTGAGAAGTTGTTTAAAGGTTTTAAACATATTTGACCCCTGTGACCTTAAATGTAAGTCAAGGTCATTCAATTGAACAAACTTGGTAGACCTTCATCACAGCATGCTACTGGTCAAATCTTATCATCATAGGCCTTTTGGTTACTGAGAAGTTGTTTAAAGGTTTTAAACATATTTGACCCCTGTGACCTTAAATATAAGTCAAGATCATTCAATTGAACAAACTTGGTAGACCTTCATCCCAGTATGCTACTTGCCAAATATTATCATCCTAGGCCTCTTGGTTATTCAAAAAAAGTTGTTTAAAGGTTTTAAACATATTTGACCCCTGTGACCTTAAATATTTGTCAAAGTCATTCATTCAAACAAACTTCATCACAGCATGCTACTTGCCAAATATCATTATCCTAGGACTTGTGGTTATTGAGAAGAAGTTGTTTAAATGTTTTAAATATATTTCATCATTGTGACCTTGAATATTTGTCAAGGTCATTTATTTGAACAAACTTGGTAGCCCTTCATCACATCATGCTACTGGCAAAATATCATCATCCTAGGCCTTTTAGTTATTGAGAAAAAGTTGTTTAAAGGTTTTTAACATATTTGACCCCTGTGACCTTGAATATAAGTGAAGGTCATTCATTTGAACAAACTTGGTAGACCTTCATTCAAGCATGCTACTTGCTAAATATCATCATCCTAGGCCTCTTTGTTATTCAGAAAAAGTTGAATAAAGATTTTTTAAGACAATTGACCCCTGTGACCTTGAAAATGGACGAAGATCATTCATTTGAACAAACTTCGTAGCCCTTTGTCCCAGCATGCTACTGGCTAAATATCATCACCCTGGGCATTTTGGTTATTTAGAAGAAGTTGTGTAAAGCTTTAAACATAGTTGACCCCTATGACCTTGAAAATAGGTGAAGGTCATTTATTTGAACAAACTTTGTAGCCCTTCATCCCAGTTTGCTTCTGGCCAAATATCATCACCCTAGGCCTTGCGGTTATTAAGAAGAAGTTGTTTAAAGTAAAATTTTGACGCCGGACGCTGCACCATGCTATTAGCTCACTTGGCCCTTTGGGCCAGGTGAGCTAATAATTCTTGACGAGTTTCATAAATTTCATAAGGAATGAAAACGAGTGCAAGATCCTTTTTATCACATAATCAAGATTAGTGGCATTTATTCATGTAAAATGACAATTTTCATGCAACCTTGAAATGAAAAACCCCCCACCGTTTTGACTCCAGTGCATAAGTCTGTGACGTCATGTCCCTGTCCTAGACGTGACGTCACAATTGAAACAATTGAAACTTACAACCAATCACAGGGCTGATAGGTCATATAACATGGGTTAATACGCCAAAAAATATGACATGGGTATATTCACTAGATATCACAGTACATTATGTGCTAAAAAGTAATTAATCACACATGAAGGGCAAAATTAATACTGGGCAAACATGGATTTTACGAATGAACCGCGATAATTTCACCCGGTGAATGGTTCCTGATAGCTAAATTTAATTGTCACATTAAATACCGGGAATGTGATAAGCCAAAGCTTTGTGGTACACTGTTAGAGCAATGATCAGCCAGTTTTATTCTACACTGTCATTTCAGCTCATAGTTATATATCTAGGTACTGTAAAGCGCTTTAGAGTGGCTTTTTCTAGCTAGATAAGGCGCTATAGATATCAATTGTTGTATATTTATTTATTCTATTTACCTTCATGTAGCCCATTCCTCCCAGAACTTGTATGGCCTCATCTGCACAAAACCAGGCTGCCTCCTGTGATAAAATCCAGGATAGAATGAATTAACTCAATGCTACTTTACAAAATGAAACATTTTTTTTACTTTTAAAAATCTCCAAAAACTGTAAAAATGAAATGGAAAACTGGTTTCACTGGCATGACAATAGCTTTAACAAATCATTTCTAAAAATAAATCTTTTCTTGCAATTCTTGTAAATGTCTTGTAGTTGAGTATCAAATAAAGATAACATTTTTGTTACGACACTGGACAGATTATCAGCTTGCTATTTGAAAAACCTTGAAATAACATCATTATTTTATCAGTCTATATTGTGACTTACCGAGGCATAAATTTTGCTGATGGCAGCCTCTATCTGGAACTCTTTGATACCCTGGTCCATGTTAGCTGACACTAAGTATGCCATAGACTGTGGAGAAAACAAATAATACAAATACATTGTTATATCATTTCATTAAAAGTACACCTATTTATTCTTTCTCCCTTTGACAATTGTGTACACAGGTTTTTCTTTTACTTCACTTTTTAACTTATCAAGATTTTTTTTCCATCAATAAGATTCATCAGTTTGGAAACATGTTATATATCATTAAGAAATTATTTAAATATACACTGTAAAATTTACATGAATAACCAATATCAATGTGAATGTGATTTTTTAACCAATACTTGAGCTGTACATTAAAAAACATCAGGTACGGAAAAAGTGAGTTCACAAAATAAGTATTATAGCAGTCTATGAGGAGATATTATCACGAGATTAGACACAGTTTAAATGGCCAAAGTCCTACCTCTGTAACGTAATGTTTCATAACCATCCTGCTTATCTTTTCCTGAATTGCTCCAAAGTTTGAGATTTCTGTCCGGAACTGCACACGCTGTCCAGCATGTTCAATCTGTTCAATGGAAATAAAAAAACATCCAGTCATGAGTCTCGTAAGCTTTAGGAATGAAACTGCCATTTAAATGAACATTTATATTTCACACTACAGTAAAAACAGCCACAGAAAATAACTCTATACATTTTGGGGTATGGACCAAGTCTTTAAAAATAAATCAGAGAGAGTGAGACAAGAAAAACTTTGCATGAGTCATTTGAGGATAGACTGTTTGACCTTGTTTTTTTTAGACTATTTGGACATTACAGTACGATCTGTAAATGTAACTGCATCAGTACTATACTGTCGTACATAGGATCAATGGACCAGAATCTATACTATACCTACAACATTGCTCTGGTTTCAAGCCAGGTTACTTACAGATTTATTGATGCAGTACTTCATGGTGCCAGACAGGGCTGCAGCCATTCCAAACCTGCCGTTGTTGAGGATGTTCATGGCTACCTTGAATCCATCACCAACCTCTGTAATGGTTAGAGACAGTCAAGTGTAGTAGTATGGTAGCTCAGAATTAATGGAAAGGAGCAAACACATTTCAAGAAACTTATTAACTCTTTCACCAATGTAGACAATAATGGACTCATCCAGATCAATGAATGGTAGAGTCTACTAAAGTTACATCGGGGTGAAAGGGTTAACTAGTTTTTATTTTTTACAGCAGTATTGAGACAGGAAAATAAAAATGTGTGCAGTATTGAATGTGAGGTCCTGATATTGTTCTGTCCACAACATTACTGTCATATTAGATGTACGTGGATACACTTTGTTTCTTAACAAGGAATTATCAGTATTCAGCTATGTCATAATAAAAGAAAGGCTTTACCATGAGTCTATACATATACACTTACCTCCCAACATATTTTCTACAGGTACTTTACCATGACAGTCTATACACACACTTCCCTCCCAACATATTTTCTACAGGTACTTTACCATGATCCATCACCAACCTCTGTAATGGTTAGAGACAGTCAAGTGTAGTAGTATGGTAGCTCAGAATTAATGGAAAGGAGCAAACACATTTCAAGAAACTTATCAACTCTTTCACCAATGTAGACAATAATGGACTCATCCAGATCAATGAATGGTAGAGTCTACTAAAGTTACATCGGGGTGAAAGGGTTAACTAGTTTTTATTTTTTACAGCAGTATTGAGACAGGAAAATAAAAATGTGCGCAGTATTGAATGTGAGGTCCTGATATTGTTCTGTCCACAACATTACTGTCATATTAGATGTACGTGGATACACTTTGTTTCTTAACAAGGAATTATCAGTATTCAGCTATGTGATAATAAAAGAAAGGCTTTACCATGAGTCTATACATATACCCTTACCTCCCAACATATTTTCAGTAGGTACTTTACCATGACGCCGTTGTTGAGGATGTTCATGGCTACCTTGAATCCATCACCAACCTCTGTAATGGTTAGAGACAGTCAAGTGTAGTAGTATGGTAGCTCAGAATTAATGGAAAGGAGCAAACACATTTCAAGAAACTTATCAACTCTTTCACCAATGTAGACAATAATGGACTCATCCAGATCAATGAATGGTAGAGTCTACTAAAGTTACATCGGGGTGAAAGGGTTAACTAGTTTTTATTTTTTACAGCAGTATTGAGACAGGAAAATAAAAATGTGCGCAGTATTGAATGTGAGGTCCTGATATTGTTCTGTCCACAACATTACTGTCATATTAGATGTACGTGGATACACTTTGTTTCTTAACAAGGAATTATCAGTATTCAGCTATGTGATAATAAAAGAAAGGCTTTACCATGAGTCTATACATATACACTTCCCTCCCAACATATTTTCAGTATGTACTTTACCATGACAGTCTAAACACACTTACCAGTCTATACACACACATACCTCCCAACATATTTTCTACAGGTACTTTACCATGATCCATCACCAACCTCTGTAATGGTTAGAGACAGTCAAGTGTAGTAGTATGGTAGCTCAGAATTAATGGAAAGGAGCAAACACATTTCAAGAAACTTATTAACTCTTTCACCAATGTAGACAATAATGGACTCATCCAGATCAATGAATGGTAGAGTCTACTAAAGTTACATCGGGGTGAAAGGGTTAACTAGTTTTTATTTTTTACAGCAGTATTGAGACAGGAAAATAAAAATGTGTGCAGTATTGAATGTGAGGTCCTGATATTGTTCTGTCCACAACATTACTGTCATATTAGATGTACGTGGATACACTTTGTTTCTTAACAAGGAATTATCAGTATTCAGCTATGTCATAATAAAAGAAAGGCTTTACCATGAGTCTATACATATACACTTCCCTCCCAACATATTTTCAGTAGGTACTTTACCATGACAGTCTAAACACACTTACCAGTCTATACACACACTTACCTCCCAACATATTTTCTCCAGGTACTTTGCCATGACAGTCTATACATACACCTACCTCCCAACATATTTTCTACAGGTACTTTGCCACGACAGTCTATACACACACTTACCTCCCAACATATTTTCTGCAGGTACTTTACCATGACAGTCTAAACACACTTAACTCCCAACATATTTTCTACAGGTACTTTGCCATGACAGACTATACATACACTTACCTCCCAACATATTTTCCACAGGTACTTTGCCATGACAGTCTATACATATACACTTACCTCCCAACATATTTTCAGTATGTACTTTACCATGACAGTCTAAACACACTTACCAGTCTATACACACACTTACCTCCCAACATATTTTCTACAGGTACTTTGCAGTCATCTATGAACAAGGCTGCTGTGTTGGAGGCTTTGATTCCCATTTTCTTCTCAGGTGCACCACTGTTAAATTAATAAAGTTAGGATGTGTTAGTTTTGTTATTGAAAACAGTGTGTGTTTCTTTCTTTTTGTCTCTTTCATGAGAAAATCATTACAGTTCTATCATTCAGTTAACACATTAGCGTGTTATTTGTGGTCCTGCAAAAGCAGCTCAAATCTTATTCGAGTATTTCTTACGAAAGGGACGTATTACTGTGTAACAATCTATTTCAGACAACCGTCATTACCTGAAAAGTATTAAATAATAATAAGACCAAAGTCAGTGGCAAACCCTACTTATAAGTTAGTTTTCTTTTAGATATTTTCTGTCACAATTGTGTTTCTTCACACAGTATTCATCAACTGCATGGTTTACCCACTGTTTTACTTATTGAAAGAAAAACTTGATTTGGGGAGGGGTTGTTGTTTCACAGACTATTGAATACCAAGTACTAACCATTATAAAATCAATTACTAGTATTGTAATCTTCGGGGATATGCAAATGATTATATTAAACACCGACACATTAAAGTATCAAGATCAAATAGAACCTTTACAAACTCAGTCACTCACTGTGATATCCCCCCAAAGCCTCTCTCTACTATGAAAGCCACTGTGGTGTCCTTTTCTTTTCCTGTCTTCTCATCAATAATCGGTGTCTTTGCGAAAACAGTGAATATGTCAGCCACACCTCCATTGCTAATCCAGATTTTACCTCCATTTAGGGTGTAGTGAGTTCCATCATGGGAGAGAATGGCTCTTGTCTTGATACCCTGTAAAAATAATGATCAACTCACTATATCATATGCAGGGATTAATACAGGAATAGAAAGTAAGTACCCTTTTCTGAAATAAGAGAAAATATGCGCTGTAGGTGCACGACCAGTGTCCAAGGAGGGCTGCAGGCCAGAGCCTGGGGGAGAATACAAACATAAAAAAGGCCTGTATATACCTATTATATGTATATAATTAAGCAGAAGCTTACAAGTGTTTTTGAAAGGAATGAAATTCCTGATGTATGACATTGAAATTTGAATATATAATAATACCTTATGTAACCAATAAATGCTAGTAGTATTTAACAATTCAAAGGCATATATATACTGAAATTTGTAAACATCATCATGTGCTCATATCTACATACATCAGGTAAACATGGTCCAGAAACATCATTGTTGTCTAGGATGAAAACAATGTTGTAATTAATGTACTCGAATGCAGAGTATTAATAAGTGTTATATACCTTGTTTCCTGCTATTTTACCATGTACATACTGCAATAGCAGGTAACAATATAAAATTTTATAGCAGCTATTCACCTATGTCTATATTTTATTATTTAAAATGGTAATGTAGATGTCCAATTAACTCGGCCACATGTGAAGAACAAAATGAAGACCAAAACCATGGCTTAGAGACAAATCACTTGTTGCTCAAGGTAAATAATTAGAAGTTGAACTTACTGCTGCATCAGATCCACAGGAAGGCTCTGTCAAACAAAAGGCTGCCATTTTTTTTCCAGTGGCAAGATCAGGCAAATACTTCTTCTTTTGTTCAGGGCTTCCATACAGGAGAATGCCTTTAAACCCGATGGACTGTGAATACAAAGGGAATACAACCTCTAGAGTCCTCACAATGATGTCAGAAACATTGAAATGATGTCAAAAATACGAAATGTCACTGGATAGTAAGTATACAGACTCTCGATATCGATTAACAAGAGTACCGCAGGGCGGAACAATATACACCCGTCAAATGCCATATAGTGTTATATACTTTCTTACTTTGAAATAAGATCTGCATCATTTTAAGAGTGGTAAGCTGACATGCTATAAAAAATGTAGGAGAAAATCTCTGGACAAAAAATCAAATACTGAAATGAACAAAGGGCAATAACTTTTGCAAAAATTGTTGAATCAAAATTCTTTTAAGGGAGACAACTTCATATCATGATTATAATGTATACCAAGTTTCAAAGAGATCCGTTGAAAAATATAGGAGGAGATTGTCGGACAAAAATCATATACTGAAATGAACAAAGGGCAACAAATTTTGCAAAAATTGTCGAATCATAAATTCTTTTCAAGGAAACACAACAACAAATCATGATTATTTAGCCTACTAAGTTTCAATGAAATCCGTCAAAAATGTAGGAGGAGATCTCCGTACAAAAAATCAAATACTGAAATAAACAAAGGGCAATAACTTTTGGAAAATTGTTGAATCAAAATTCTTTTGAGGGAAACACAACTTCATATCATGATCATAATGTATACCAAGTTTCAAAGAGATCGGTCGAAAAATGTAGGAGGAGATTGCCGGACAAACAAAAGTTTACGTCGGACGGACAACGCCATACAACAATACTCACGTCAAATTTGACGGGCGTATAAAAATTATTCAGTTACTGATTGCTTTTCAAAACAGTCTTTCACAATCAGTTGTAGTTTATATTACTTTTCTTCAAATATCATATTGAACTAAAAGATAGTTTATGGTTTTAGCAGTCACTCAGACTGTCTGCAATTAGCATCCACCACACATAGTTACAACAAGTACCCCCCCACCCCCATTCTTCAGCATTTTTTTTTCAATTTATTATTAATTATTTGAAGCACTGCCCTTTCTTAGTTATGAAGAGAAGAGATGTAATGTCAACATACAGCTAAAATGTCCTAAATCGCTACAGATAGTAATTATGGAAACAAAAATCTCAAATACAAGGACAAATTGCAAATTGTACACAGGGGAAAACATTTCTATCAACATAAGTAAAGAGCTAAACATCAGCAAGGTACAATATTACTTTATACTGAAAGACATCACACGTACCTGATGTGCTCCAAGTGTTATTCCAACACCCAGGTCATGTGACCCGACTATTTCCACCAATCGTGCATACTGTGTGTTTGTAAGTCCAAGACCACCTGGTAAGTACAAAGAGAACCTTAGTGAGGTACCTATGTAAAAAGTTTACTGCAAACAAAATTTCCAAATTACTCTAGATTCTGTATATACCTGTACAATGTATAGGTTTCCAGATCATAAGAGTCAGTATACCGATTAAAAACATGGTAATTTGTTACTCAGCGAGTCCCTTGCAGAATTTATCAAGCTTTTAGGGACAAGAACATTTAACACTCACTACGCTGATCATGAGGGACCTGTACACAAACATTGACTGAGCTCATGTGGGATCCTGAGACTGAACATTTATGGAGTTAATGAGGTACTGGTACATGTACAATGTCGATTAGACATTGACTGAGATCCTTTGTGAGCCTGAGACTGAAGATTTATGGAGTTAATGAGGGACTCGTACATGTACAATGTCGATTAGACATTGACTGAGATCCTTTGTGAGCCTGAGACTGAAGATTTATGGAGTTAATGAGGGACTCGTACATGTACAATGTAAATAAGACATTGACTGAGCTGCTGTGGGACCCTGAGACTGACCATTTATGGAGTTAATGATGTACTCGTACATGTACAATGGGGACAAGAACATTTAACACTCACTACGCTGATCATGAGGGACCTGTACACAAACATGGACTGAGCTCTTGTGGGATCCTGAGACTGAGCATTTATGGAGTTAATGAGGTACTCCTACATGTACAATGTAGATAAGGCATTGACTGAGCTCCTGTGGGACCCTGAGAATGAACATTTATGGAGTTAATGAGGTACTCCTACATGTACAATGTAGATAAAACATTGACTGAGCTCCTGTGGGACGCTGAGACTGAACATTTATGGAGATAATGAGGTACACGTACATGTACAATGTATATAAGACATTGACTGAGATCTTGTGGGATCCTGAGACTGAATATTTATGGAGTTATTGAGGTACTGGTACATGTACAATGTCGATAAGACATTGACTGAGATCCTTTGTGAGCCTGAGACTGAAGATTTATGGAGTTAATGAGGTTCTCGTACATGTACAATGTCGATTAGACATTGACTGAGATCCTTTGTGAGCCTGAGACTGAAGATTTATGGAGTTAATGAGGTTCTCGTACATGTACAATGTCGATTAGACATTGACTGAGATCCTTTGTGAGCCTGAGACTGAAGATTTATGGAGATAATGAGGTACACGTACATGTACAATGTAAATAAGACATTGACTGAGATCCTTTGTGAGCCTGAGACTGAAGATTTATGGAGATAATGAGGTACACGTACATGTACAATGTAAATAAGACATTGACTGAGATCCTTTGTGAGCCTGAGACTGAAGATTTATGGAGTTAATGAGGTACTCCTACATGTACAATGTAGAAAAGACATTGACTGAGCTGCTGTGGGACCCTGAGACTGAACATTTATGGAGTTAATGCGGTACTCGTACATGTACCATGTAGATAAGACTTTGACTGTGCTCCTGTGGGATCCTGAGACTGAATATTTATGGAGTTATTGAGGTACTGGTACATGTACAATGTCGATTAGACATTGACTGAGATCCTTTGTGAGCCTGAGACTGAAGATTTATGGAGTTAATGAGGTACTCGTTCATGTACAATGTAGATAAGGCATTGACTGAGCTCCTGGGGGATCCTGAGACTGAATATTTATGGAGTTATTGAGGTACTGGTACATGTGCAATGTAGATAAGACAGTGACTGAGCTCCTGTGTGACCCTTAGACTGAACATTTATGGAGTTAATGAAGTACTCGTACATGTACAATGTCGATAAGACATTGACTGAGATCCTATGGGACACTGAGACTGAACATTTATGAAGTTAATGAGGTACTCGCACATGTACAATGTAGATAAGGCATTGACTGAGCTCCTGTGGGACCCTGAGACTGACCATTTATGGAGTTAATGAGGTACTGGCACATGTACAATGTAGATAAGGCATTGACTGAGCTCCTGTGTGACCCTTAGACTGAACATTTATGGACTTAATGAGGTACTCGTACATGCACAATGTAGATAAGACATTGACTGAGATCCTGTGGGACACTGAGACTGAACATTTATCGAGCTCATGGAATACTCGTAGATAAAACACTTACCAAGATCCTGTGGGACCTGTAGACCAAAAGCTCCCATTTCTTTGAGTCCCTCCAATGACTTATCCTCCACCTTCTCCAGGCTGTCATTAGCAGCAGCGTCATTTACATCCTGTTGACAGAGACACACCATACAAGTTTGTTAATTGATACATTAAAACTTTAACCTGTATTTCAGTCTCACATTATACATGTACTATTAATATCTAAACCATTTCATACAATTACTTTAACCACAGCCAATTTATTATAAATCATTATTTTAATGTTGTAAATCACTTTATTTTGCAAACCTTAGCTGTAGAATACATTCAGGAATATCTTTTTTGAATACTTCAATTTGTTCTTGTAGAGATTTCAAAACTTAAAGTCATTATCCCTGGAAATGGAATTCACAAAAGATTTGTATTCATTCACAAATGATCCTCACAATCTCAGAGAGAAAAAAAAAAGTTTGCAAAAATAAAGTGATCAAATTACCAACATCATTGTTTATACCGTCGTCAAACAGTGTTATTATGGACTCTGGTATATCTTTATTTCCTTGTATAGCTGGAAATTGTTTTCTGGTACAATGTGAATATATACTGTATTTTGACACAAGGCTCAACTTAACAACCAACACTTAACAAATGTTGACTAACAACCTCTACATAAAGTCACAAGGCTTCACTGCAACAAACCATGTTTTTTCTACCAAAATCTTAAAATAGCATGTTCCTTCATGAATTGGGAAAATATACCATGCATTACTTTTACTGAAATTGGGAAGATGTTCCTCATTCGGTAATTTCTATTTTTTGATTTCAATATAATTTCAAAAACATTAATGAGAAGCAGCATTTTAGAATCAAATATTTATAGTTGTATGGCATTTTCCAAAAATTACCTCGAAGAATTTGGCACAAGGATCAACTAACATCTGAAGCATCTCTTCCTGTTCCTCGTTCAACACTGTAAAACAGATAATTAGTTTAATGTACAAATGTAAGGGGACTATGGTGAAACTATTGGTCTTATATGATCTTCCATAATATCTAAAATTTATATTATGTTGAAACATTCAAGACTTTGATTTACAGTTTAAATAATGAAGACAAAATTTACTAAGTAATAATAGTATACAGTAATTGGCCTATTTTCAAGCATAAACAAACATTTGTTCAGTGAAAAAAAAAAAAATACTTGATTGTACTAACTATACTTGGAGCAGTCATCAGAATGTTGTATATATATAGAACTATAAGTGATATAGATTATGATACAAAATTGAAGCAAAAAACATTGTTTACCTTCAGGAAAAGGGAAAATAGTTGATGGTTTGATATCACCCTTAAATATGTTCATAGCAAAAGAATTTGTCTCCTGAAACAGAAAAAAATATGAAAGTGTATAGGTTCCTACCTATTAAGAATAAGATGTAAATCACAAATGAGGTTAGACAGCTATGCTTCATATACAGGACTTGAAAAAAAGATTTTCAGGTCTCATGAATCACGAGAATGACTATGTCAGCCGATTCCTAGAACAAGTTCAGGTACATTACCTATTTTATAAATTCAGATTATTTTAATTCAGATTAGATTTATACTCTTGACAGGACAAATTATTGAATGAGGAATGTCCGTCCAACCACATTTAGGTTTCAACAAGATAACTTTCTTAAATATTGTTCAATTTTGATCAAACTTGGTGTGCATGTATGTACAACATTATACAAAGACTGAGGCTAAGTTCAAAGTTGAGCAAAATACTACTTACAGCTGATTCTGCCTTCGAACTGGTTTCCCTCTTCTGTATAATTGAACATGGTGTAGCCTCTTTCCTCTGTATCTGTAGACATGGTCTGAAACCAGGAAGTTGATTTATATATCAATAAACATGATGAACTGTAACAAACAGTGCTTGAGGTTTTAATATGTATTGCATATATGTATAGATCTGAAAAACTCTGCTCAAGTCCGATTTTTGTTATTTCTAAGGGAGGATCGGAGGGACCACTGCATGTTATATAAGGCATTATTATACCTTTACTTATTTTACACTATACAAAAGTAACCACATAAACAAGCTATTTCCCCTCTAACTGCATGCCAGGGAAATAGTTTGTCTGGAGGGGTGCGATAGTTTTGAAACTATTTCCCTCGGAAAATGCGGTAAATTGAGTGACGTCGTGGGCGGGGCCTGACCGAATATTGACAAATCAGCGCAATCGAATTACGTCGGTAATTTCCTGCAATTTCCGGCCAGCAGAGCCGGTACTTTCTGGACCGACCTTCACCTCGCATTGTTGTAGTTTTGTTAATAAAGTGTCCCAACTGTTGAAAATTTGTTGTCTAATAATATTTAGAATATTGTAAGGGAGTGTTTGTATCGGTATTATAAAACAGTTGAAGTATGGGTATTTCGGGATATAGCAAGTTTATGATCCCCTCGTCCAGGACTATTTCCCGAGGCGAAGCCGAGGGAAATATTCCTGGCCTCATAGATCNATGGGTATTTCGGGATATAGCAAGTTTATGATCCCCTCGTCCAGGACTATTTCCCTCGGCTTCGCCTCGGGAAATAGTCCTGGCCTCGGGGGATCATAAACTTGCTATATCCCTCATACCCATACTTTAACTGTTAACTAATGTGTGACCCCTTCACTTCAGGATCAGGGATTTTCTTCTGTCTTCTAGATCTATTCAGAGGACATTGAAGAACCAAGAAATTCTGATCTAGTGCATCCATTGCAGTATTTGGGGTCTATGTCTTTCTTTCCATTTCTTAGCACTTGTGGCAGTGTCTCCCTAGGCACTCATCTTCAAATGACCCTGGCTGTTGTAAGGAAATTAAACCACATACATGTACATATGTACAAACATACCAAACAGAGGATGACTTTTATTCATTTAAGGTTATATTAAGAATATGAATACCGGTAGGTGTTCTAAGAAACAAAACTAGTACAATGTATTTCCAATCTTTGAAAATGCCAGTACATATTGGTCATTAAAAAAGAATTCAGGCTTGAATCTCCCAATATATCTTGCACTTTGAACAAATCTTTGCTGGCATCTCAACATTTCATATTGATCTTTGAAATTTGTTTGAATACAAATATACTTCTGAAAGCTGTATAACTATATCATTGTGGACCATGGAATGTTAATACATACAATGACTTTAACTTTTTTTTCTTTAAGAGTGGGTACTGATCATTATGATCAGATTGTGGTCATACAATTTTCCTGCAGGTTTTACAAGCATTTTATTTCTTTTTCTTTTCCACCAAAACATTATTTTCTTAGTTGTGTAAGATACCATCCAGCAGTGTATTTGCTTTCATCTTTTTCTCAAAATACATAATTACATTATATGATGTCATTAAAGGGGCATCACGGTGAAGTAACTTTTTTTGTGTCTTTTTTTCAAATACTACATAAACATATCAAGTGAGACTCCTTATGGAAAATAACGATCTGATTTGGCTGAAATAGATTCATAAAAATGATTAAATCTAAGAAAATCATCGGTATTTCTACCTGTCTGACCAACGTTTTGTTCAGGGATTTCCCTCTACTAGCGCATGCGCATAGCACACCATTTCTTTGTAAACAAAATGACTGGCCGTGTGAAGTAAGCGAAAGAAAAGTGTTGTACCGTGTCAGCTACGAAACGAAAAGTTGCCAAATGGTCAAAANTAGGGGTACAGTCGTTTCGGTACACGGTAGTTTCGGTACTTCAAAAATAAGAGGTTTCGGTACTTTTTGTAAGTAGTTTCGGTACTTCAACGATTTTTTCGGTACTTTGTTTTTTATTTCATAAATATTTCTCATTTGTCATTTATTGTTGGTTGTTTATTTTCGGTACTTCGTTTATTAGTTGATAAATATTATTTATTGCTGGTTGTTTATTTAACGTTTGCTTTCGGTATATATGTCCCGTTATACTTAGAAATTATTGAAATATGAATTAAACATGTTATATATATGTCCCGTTATACTTAACAAACTGATACAAACACGTGTATTATAGCACAAGTTTGACTTCCCTTGAAGGTATACAGCACGCAAAAAGTGGTGACGTTGACTAAAAGTTGGTACCATTGTGTTTTTTCCATAAGTACCTAAACGATTTTAAGAAGTACCGAAACAACTTTCAGAAGTACCAAAACGACTTTCAGAAATACCGAAACGACTTTCAGAAATACCGAAACGACCGGGTACCTAAACGACCAGGTACCTAAAAGACCTGAATTCGGATGTGTACACATCCCTGGTGTACAGTAGGGAAGGTGTTTAGCCCCGTACCATCTGTACCGGCCACATTCCGGTACTAAATTCAATATATATTTAAATATATCTACTTTATGTTTATGCCTATTATCATTGTTGATATTTAATTGTAAATTTGTATGACGGGAGAAGGCTGTGATAAATTGTAAAAACTTATGCCCCATCCCTTGTTTAATTTTATTGGCAACAGATTTATGTTTAAAGCTAAATAAATTTAAATTCTGAATATTAGCAAGTGTGCAATTAACTTCTAATGATTAATAATCAATGTTCAATAAGTTTGAATACGGACTTAGAAATCATATAACTTGGTTTCATAGTGCGGTAAGAAGTTGCAGTTGCCTGACGGCCCCTCTCTGGGGGCCCCTTTGGAAACCGTTTCATCTCGCTCGCACCACTTGTGTTTACTGCCTAGTCAGGTGACGTTATCGGCGCTATTTTTAGCAGGGCTTTCCCGAACAATTCAAGTGGTCAAACTGGACATTTGGAACGGACTATGAATATGGGGATAGCGAGGTAACATAAGTGGAAGTGCATACAATACATACATTCATTAAAAAAAAAAACGCCTTTTCACGTGAAGTCCCTTTAAATCAATAGTATATATATATATATTGTCTTTCAATCACCCTTTTTGTTTGTAGTTATAATTAACATATTTAAGCATCAATACTTTTTTGAGGTACTGCATTTAACCTGTATATGCTGATCATGAGATGTGGAATGTTGTGTATCAAATTAATTCTATAATATTTGCTTTGAACCAATTTGATTTGTGTTAATTTTAATAGTTTTTCAGCAGCATGTATACAAGTCACTGAGTCTTCGTGAAGGAATAACATGTCGCTTTCTCACATGCACTATAGCCTTGTCTGTTTATAATATATACACCCATAATATAACCTTGTATGCGCCAAGTACAAATGTACCTGTAGTTTACTAGCTAGTGGCCCTAAATTATATAAAACTTGTGAAGACAACAACCGGTCAATAATTGCCATACTTTTAGTTCTGTAATTATTTATAAATTAATTATTATTGTACCCATGGACCAATCTAGCGATATGTCATATTCCTCAGACTCATATATACCTGTATAGGTACTATTTTTTGTGGGGTCAAAGTCCAGGCAGTCATTGCCCTGTCGCTGGTCGACAGCTGAATGTTGTGTAACAAAAAATAGACAAGTGATGAAAATAGCATAAACTTGAATTAAACTTTGTAAAAAGACAAAGGAATACTAACCCGACAACATTTCTGGAATTGTTCCAAGAACTCCTCTGAATTAAAGATGGCAGGTACCGCACTGTTCGAAACATCTTTTACCTTTCGAAATTTACTTGACAGTTTGTCTGCTCAACATGCAAAAACGTAAATGACTGCGCATGTGCAAACATAGTAACGTTTCCGAAAAATTAATGTTCGGAATGTTTCTGCTATTTTCATATTATCTGTGTAAATTGCACGCAATGTGAAAGTAGATGTATTTTAAACGTTCGACTGTTTTATGCGCAGTTTAAAGTCCGTTTTGCTAATGTCTGGCTAATTATTAAATGACAGTATGCCTATATAGCTGTGACGACTCTCCAATTATCATGTAAATCGGAGTTTAAAATAAAATCGACGGTAGCGACACCTATAATGCAACAATGGCGGAAGGACCGGTAGCACGGCTACAGCAGCTTGAGAACATTGAGAAGGATATTGCTACAGCAATACAAAGTGCCGGTAAATAGAACGGTGTTGATAAATCAAACATTCTTATTTTATCTCGTTCATATAAAATTGACGTCCGTAGCTGAATGGAAATGAACGCATGTCTGGATAAATGAGTTGGCATGTCATAGGTTTCTGAAACAGGTTTTAGTTACAAATATCCCCAGGCACCTGCATCTATTAGGGTAGGCAGATCATTTTATGTTTTAACATGCAATTTATTTATTGCTGCAAGACCCTGTACTTGAATGCGTACATCGCCTCGGTAACTATGTTCCTCTTCTGTTTATTTTGTAGAAGGTATAAGATAAAAGTCAAGTAAAAAGAATTGGTTTAATTAGTATGGTTAGTTAATATGTTGCTATATAATAACCCAGTTTCTTGTGTGATTGTGACAGGTCAGGCCCTACAAGAACTAGCAAAAGACAAACCTGTGTTGAAACAAGTCGAGACACACACCACCAACTTCATGAAGATTTTGATGGAGGTGGAGAAAAAACTAACGCAACAGATTAACTACCTGACACAGGTATCTACAGGTAAGTTCTCAAGACCAATGATCCAGGCATTGCAGGCATATCATTCAAAAGTGTGACTTCTGACCTCATGTTGTGGAATATTGACTTTGGTAGTGTGAGTTATGTACCATACATCAATGGGTTGTTCATGATACACATGATCTCATTCTCATAAAGTATTTTTTCTGTCATTTAGAAACTATTGTTTGGTCAAGAATACAATATGTAACTCTCCTTTGACCTCTTGATATGACCTTGATCTTGGGAGAATGACCTAAGAGTGGTTCACCACATAACTTCTTTAAGTAAGGTTATTCACTAGTTACTATTTGGACCAGCATTATAAGTATTGTAACTTATAATTCCTAAATATATTTGGTAGGGCTGTTACGATACACTGCGGTGCACCGAAAACCGCGCTAAATTGCTTCGGTTCGGTGTACGATATGTTTTTTCCGTGTTTCGGTTCGGTTTGGTTTTAAGCTCACCTGGCACGAAGTGCCAGGTGAGCTTATGCCGTGGCGCGTCGTCTGNCCTGGCACGAAGTGCCAAGTGAGCTTATGCCGTGGCGCGTCGTCTGGTCGTCCGTCCTTCGTTCGGCGTCAATATTTTACTTTAAACGACTTCTTCTTAATAACAGAAAGGCCTAGGGTGTCGATATTTGGCCAGAAGCAAACTTGGATGAAGGGCTACAAAGTTTGTTAAAATTAATGACCTTCACCTATTTTCAAGGTCACAGGGGTCAAATATGTCAAAGATTTTACACATCTTCTTCTCAATAACCAAAATGCCCAGGGAGTTGATATTTGGCCAGTAGCATGCTTGGGTGAAGGGCTACCAAGTTTGTTCAAATGAATGACCTTCAATTATATTCAAGGTCACAGGGGTCAATTGTATTAAAAAAACTTTAAACATCTTCTTCTGAATAACCAAAATCCTCAGGGTGATGATATTTGGCCAGTAGAAGCTGAGATGAAGTGCTACAAAGTTTGTTCAAATGAATGACCTTCACCCATATTCAAGGTCACAGGGGTCAAATATGTT